CCCCCCCCCCCCCCCCCCCCCCGGTGTTTGCCATCGGGGTTGGGTTTTCGTCGCTTGGCAACGACGTTGTAAAGCATGCCGCCGCCCCCGGTGTTCGCCATCGGGGTTGGGTTCTCGTTGCTTGGTAACGACGTTGTAAAACAAGCCCCTCCCTCGGTGCTTGCCATCGGGATTGGGTTCTCGTCGCTTGGCAACGACGTTGTAAAACAAGCCAATTCACTTCGTGAACTCGGCAACCAGGTTACCGTTTTTTTTTACCTCTGGCTTTTTTTTGGCGGTAACCATAATGGTGGTTGAGTAGATCATGTTGTGCGGGGTGGAGAACCCTCACTTCGCGCAACGGGGGATGATCGCACCACGTTGTGTTGAAATGGTCAAGCATCCTCGAGGCAGTTACACAGTGTGTACAACTGTCTCTGGAAGTGAAAGCACCAGAAAATAAATTAAGTCATAACCAGCTGTCATCCGTACGCAAGGAAGTAAGCACAAGATGCCGAACACCCTTAGCAGGATGCAGCGCACCCTTCATGCGACTCGCCGAATACCTCACGGCGCTTCGCGCTTGGTGATGTGAGAGCCTGGTCCGGTGAGAACCCGGCGTGCTCCGTCCCGGCTTTGTAGGGATGCGAGGTCAATGGTCGAACGACTACGACATGCACGGCTATGAGTACACCCCCCACCCACCCACCCCTGCTTCTACGGTCTTTTACGATATGTCGTGCTGTCGTACGGCGAAAATCCTCCCCCCCCCCTGCTTCTACGGTCTAACGACTACAGCATGCAATTGCAAGAGTACACCCCCCCCTCCACCCTTGTTCCTTATCGGTCCGCAGAGACGACTACATCGCCGAGATTCAGGTTGTGTTCGGCGGCGCTGCGTACGAGCTGCCCGAGGGCCAAGGTTGGGAGCTCGTGGAGAAGAGCGCCTCGGGAAAGGGGGCCAACTTGAACAAGGTGATTGATTGCACTCCCGACCAAAACATCCGAGTCCACCGAGTGGTGGTAGGGGTCACAAAACGCGAGCAACAACAGCAGTAAACATTTTCGGGGCAGGTCGCTACCTCGACTTGAGCACGGAGAGCTCACTGGCGATTGCTGAGGGTGCAGTCTGGTTGAAGAAGTCACGGTCGGACTGACAATTTTCCGCAAGGGTGCATACAGTAGCCGGGAACAGCGAATATGGGCTCTGTTCGATGCCTTGAAGTCGATTCACGAGGGAATGGGGGGTGTCGATTCGCTTCCTTCGCGTGATACTTAGCTTGTGGTGATACCGGTGGTGGAGAATCTTGGCCTTGTCCCTGGGGGCTTTTGCTTGTTCCATGTGTTTTGTTCGCGATCCGGACGATGGCGGATCGTTGACACAATTTTGGCTTTGGTGGTGTCCCTTCGACGACAACGTCGGCTGACTGCTACCGTATCTCACGCTTACGTAGGGCCGTAGCTTCGTTTTTCGCCGCTGCCCCTGCCCCTTGCGGCGCAGTCGTGTTGGACACCGACTGCAATATGCATCCCCGCCTCTGTATCCTCCTCGGCCTGTGAGTGTCTCTCACGTCCTTTTTCCGGCTTGCTCTAGCCCCCTCCCGTCTCCCACGACGCTGCCCCCCTTTTAACTCCCCCCTCCGCGCGCCTCCCCCCCCCGGTGTTTGCCATCGGGGTTGGGTTTTCGTCGCTTGGCAACGACGTTGTAAAACAAGCCCCCCACTCGGTGTTTGCCATCGGGATTGGGTTTTCGTCGCTTGGCAACGACGTTGTAAAAGAAGCCAATTCACTTCGTGAACTCGGCAACCAGGTTACCGTTTTTTTTTTTACCTCGGTTTTTTTTTTTGGCGGTAACCAAAATGGTGGTCGAGTAGATCATGTTGTGCCGGGTCGAGAACCCTCACTCCGCGCAACGGGGGATGATCGCACCACGTTGTGTTAAAATGGTCAAGCTTCCTCGAGGCAGTTACACAGTGCTTACAACTGTCAATGGAAGTGAAAGCACCAGAAAATAAACTAAGTCATACGTAGCTGTCATCCGTACGCAAGGAAGTAAGCCAAGATGCCGAACACCCTTAGCAGGATGCAGCTCACCCTTCATGCGACTCGCCAAATACCTCACGGCGCTTCGCGCTTGGTGATGTGAGAGCCTGGTCCGGTGAGAACCCGGCGTGCTCCGTCCCGGCTTTGTAGGGATGCGAGGTCAATGGTCAAACGACTACGGCATGCACGACTATGAGTACACCCCCCCCCCCCCCCCCCCCCGCGCTTGGTCCATTCCCCTTTTTCCCCCTCCCGCGTTGGGGAACTGAAACACCCGCAAAACCGGGGGGGGACCACCCTTTTCTGGGCGGGGGCCGAACCCTCCCTGACCCCCTTTACTGCCCCCCGGCCCGGTGCTCCCGGGGCGTGCCGCTGCGCCATAAAAAAGAACCCCCCCCCCCCGGGTACCCAGTCCTCCCAAAAGGCGGTGTCTTGGGCCCCTTTTTCCTTTTTTTTTTTTTGGCGCCAGGGCCAAAATTTTTGAACCATCCTGGAATCCCCCC